TCTGGAGTGAAAGGGACAGGGGGAGAGAGAAACATTGATGAGAAACACTGATCGGCTGCCTGCTGCACATTCCCTATTGTGGATAGAGCCTATAACCTGGGCATGTGCCCTGACTGGGAATTGAACTGGAGACCTCTTGGTGCATGGGATGGTGCTCAATCCACTGAGCTACACTGTCTGGATGTTGTCCATCGTTTTAAGAAAGCTGTACCATTTTCTAATGTTGGACAAGTTATTGGTGCATGCATGCTTATGCGTGCACACACACTTGTTTTTAATAACTTGGAACAGAGTCATTTCTTCACATTGTAAATCCTCAACTCCTATATCTCTTGATAAAATGAATGTAACCCTCTGACTCTGAGTTAGCACAGGCCAGATTCAACATTCCTCCCTGTGCTCACACTTCCAATTCTAGAATCACAGAGCAGGCTGACCTGCTAAAATGGATTTTCTCAAGAAAGAGAGCTGTGACTAAAGAACGTTTCTGATACCAGCAACAGATGCTCTGGGAACTAATTCAGGCGAGAGTGTACACAGATACAGTAACGAAACTGCTTGTTACACATACTGTGAGAAAGTATGTTTACCTCTCTCCCAAGTTGGGCTTTTTGGGGATGGAATCTTAAAAAATAACATGGCTTTATTTGGGCCTTAATATGCTCTTAATTTTCAAATGAGGTCTACAAATGTAAGAAATTAAATCTGAACCTTTCACTGAGCCTAATATGCCTATCCCTTCCCCTCAAGTCCTCTTTTCTCACTTAATCATGGCCCTTTTAATGAAACTAAAAAGTGTCCGGATAAAAATCCAGTTAGGCAAAGGTTGCTCATCATCTCAGCTAACTCTGCTGAAGTTCATGAAGGGTTCGAATGACTGTTGTGGAGATTAAAAGGGTAGAATTCTTCCGGAAATTCAGTAAAAAGCTAAGTGACTTCTTTATGGATAATGGGATCCATTTTCAGAAATGCACTGTTCATTTCTAGCCAGATGTCCTGCTGAACCAATGATCAAAATACTGTTTTCACATCCCGGTACAGCAGGTCCTCCACTAGCGTTCAATAATGTTTCATTACAATGTTTATGAGATATTGTAGGAAAATAACTCTTGATTGTAACAACTAGCCTATAAAATTGGTGTCATTAGATGTCATTTTGCTGTAGGGTCAAGTGAGAACTTACTGCATCTGTTTATCTTCAGTAACAAAGAAATCAACAAAACAAAATCATTTAGCCAACAAATTCTATCAAAGTCTCCAGAGACTAGCCAACAATAAATGCTAAAGGTCTCTGCTCTATTTGGACCAGAATAGAGATAAACTGCACAGGGACAACATGTGCTCTGGGCATTCTGCATGCCATTTAAATGCCGGGGAAGCCCCTCGCCTTCCCCCTGGGGGAATGGGGAGTGGAGGAAGGGGTCCCCCAATGCCATTTCCCTTTTTTAGACTGATAAGTTTGTATAACACTAGGGGTCCAGTGCACGAATTCGTGCACCTTGAAAGGAACTATGGACCGTGAGGCTGTGGTAGGCACAGAGGTGGTCTTGCCCCATCCTCCACACCCCCGCCTGGCAACCTCCCACCATGGCCCCGAGCCCGTCTGCCAGCAGCCTTGCTTCTGCTGCCACCGCTCTTATGCACTGATGGCGCCAGCTCCACTCACATCCGCTGACTGTGCAGAGCAATTGGGGCAGGCGCTAGCAGTGGGTGTGAGCAGGGCTGGCATTATCAGCAGGTGTGAGCGGTGGCTGTTGCCCAGATCGCCCCTCAGGAGCAGGGGGAGGTGGAGAAGCCCACAGGGGCGATCAGGGCTGGCAGCCACCACTCGCACCTGCTGATAGCACCTAGTGAACAGGACTGGTACCGAGTACTGGCAGTGGATGCAAGCAGTGGTTCCAACCCAGCAGTGGGTATGAGAGGGGCCAGCACTGTCAGCGGTTGTGAGAGGTGGTTGCTGCCCAGATTGCCCCTCAGGAGCAGGGGGAGGTGGAGAAGACCACAGGGGTGATCAGAGCCGGCAGACTCCATTCGCACCTGCTGATAGCACCTAGTGCGCGGGACTGGCACTGGGTACTGGCAGTGGGTGCAAGCAGTGGTTCCAACGCCAGCAGTGGGTGCAAGCGGGGCCAGCGCCAGCAGCAGGTGCGAGCGCCAGGCAGGACAGCTGCGCGTGGGAGCGAGAATTTTCAGTAACTACCAGAGGCTTGCCCTGATGACAGCGATCGGTGCCCCACCTTGGTCTGGTGCTCCCACTCACCTGCTCTACCATCCCACCATGGCCAATGCCCGCCATGTTCCGCACACGCCCTCTCGTGGTCAGCACACATTATAGTGACTGGCTGTTCTGTTGTTTGGTTGTTCCACTATTCGGTCTATTTGCATATTAGCCTTTTAATATATAGGATCATACCTTAATAGTATTATATGTTCAGGGGCTGTATTTTTTTCTTTGTAATCCACACTGATAATGAGACAGTAAGTACTCTGCAGTCATTTTCAGATTATCTCAGGCTGCTAACGTGGTGATGGTTAAGTAGTACCTGAAGTCCTGTACATGTGATTAAAAGTAAGTAAATGAAGAATAAAGAACTCAGATGCTCTTTCTTATTTCATCTTTGCCAACCACTGTTCTTTAAAACAATAACTTTAAGTAGTATTTGAATCTAGACTTTAAAAGTTTAGCTCTGCCCTGGCCAGGTGGCTCATTTGGCTAGAGCATCATCCCACACACCAAAAGTTTGCGGGTCCCATTCCAGCCAGGGTACATACCCATATTGAGGGTCCAATCCCTGGTTGGGGCATGTATGAGAACAATCACTGTTTCTTTCTTTCTTTCTTTCTTTCTTTCTTTCTTTCTTTCTTTCTTTCTTTCTTTCTTTCTCTCTCTCTCTCTCTCTCTCTCTCTCTCTCTCTCTCTCTCTCTCTCTCTCATCATTAAGAAAAGTTTGTCCTCTGGTAAGGATTTTTTTAAAAGTTGAACACTAAGAATTTTCCAAAGTTATTAATTTTATTAATGGTAAACCCCTTCAATGAATCATTTTAGGGCATTACAGCATTGACTAAAGCATTTATCTTTTCAAAATTAAATCCACATATAGGCAAAACCAGTGGTGATGACACTTCATTTGGATCTACTGAATAGTCAAAAAGAAAAGAAAATCAGAAAACCCTAGATGTTTAATTTTATAAGGGAAGCAAAGAGAAGCTCTGAGCTGGTGCTTGAAAATACACAGAAGAGGCAGGGAAGCACCGTTTCCTGGAGAGTGTTCAAAGAAGGCTGGGCCTGAAAATTCCAGCTCACACCCGCCCTTCTGAGAGCATTCTCCACAGGCAGGCCAGCAGAGCAGAGGGACTTAACAATAGCTCTGCCTATGGGGCTGGCTCCGGGCACAGTGCCATTTAATCCTCATACTCATTATTCAGGAGGAAGGTAAAGAAGAAGTAGAGAAGCTCCTTGTCAAAATTTTCAAAAGACTATCACTAGGAACTGAAGAGATCTAGAAGAAACTGTGGTTGGAGTTAGGTGCATTATGTAACCACCATCGAGGAAGGCAAAAGTCAAAGTACAACTCCAAGGCCATACAGAAGAGCCTGACTAATGCCTTTTTTTTTTTTTTTTCCATTTAGGCTTAGTACATAGATTCCTCGGGTTAATGAGAAAGGAATCCAATAATGTCCATTTCTGAACAGTTAAATGCCAAGACTGTGAGACACATGATAGAGTAATAAGATACATATGAGATCATCTCTTAATCTTTTAGATTAAAGGAACAAAACAGGGATCTACGGTCTACTTAGTTCTGTTCAGAATTCCAAATCTATTGTGAGTCCTTTGATAGCTGTTCCTTCTCTCTCTAAGCAGAAATCATCTTCCTCTAACTCCCATACAGCATCTTATGGCCCATTCCGAGTATTTTTCATGTTGTGATTTGCACTATAAGTAAAAGTGTAAGTTCCTTGAGAGCCAGGACCCTGACTGTGTATTCTGCAGTTCTGCCAGAATAACAGATTTCTAACAAATGGCTGTTAAAGGCAATCGAGTGCAGCCGTTAAGAATACGAGCCCTGCAACCTGAGACTGTCCAAGTTTAAGCCCTGATTCTACCACTAACTTTGAGATGGCAGGAAAGTTTCTAATCTTCGTGTCTCCATTTTTTTTTTTTTTCAAATGTAAAACTGGCACAGTAATTATTGTAAGGATTAACTGAGATAATACCTGTAATGGGCTTAGAATGGTACTTGGCATATACTTAAGTGTTGAATGAATGTCGCCTAGTAATCAGTAGTCATAGTAATAACACATTAATAAATGAATTAATAAATGACTGATATACATTTGAAAAATTATCATAAAAATTAGAGGGGATCCTGATTCTGGGTTTTCCTTGAATTGATGACAGTATTTCTCCCAGATTTAAACCTTTCACAATTAGATGAAATACAGGACATTTAGTTAAGTTAAATTTTAGATAAACAGCAGTACTTTTTTGGTATAATTATGTCCCAATAGTGCATGGTAAGAGAAAACTGGTAAACTAGCATCTAGTAGAATAAGAACATTGGTTTGCTGTTATTAAAAAAAAAAGTCTCTAAGTCTTAAAAGTCACTGCCTTGCTCTTTTAAATAACTTCCCTGTTTACAACTTTCAGGAAGGTCTCCTTGTCACACATTTACAGTCCTTACCACCAACAGTAAGTTGAAGTAAAAATGAGAATTTTAAACCAGATAAAGGAAGACGCTCTTTCTGTATATCCTTCCTCTCTTTATAAAGTCAATAAAAACATATTTAAAAAATAAACTGGTGTCGATTCTTTGAGGACATATCCATAAGAGGGAGGTTTCCACAGAATCCAGAACATATTAAGCATGCAGGTTGAGAGTTTTATGATATCTCACACATACTCTATTCTATGTTCATTAGAAACAGGTCTTCTTTGACAAATAACATCACACTCATGCTTTCAATGCTAATGAACAGGCTTGCAGCTGGGATCTTACCCCTCAGCACGGATTTGAGGTTGAGCTTGGCTTGGCGGTGCAGGTCCTCCACGCAGGGGGGCCTCGAGGTGGGAAGGAACACGTTCTCCTGCTGGTGCCAGGGCGCGGTGTAGTGGACCGTCCATCTGCTCTCCTCATCGAGGTTGGAGACCGCTGTGGAAGGAGGGTTAGAGTCAATCCAGCTGTCAAATTAAGTTTCACTGGCTCTACATGTATTGCATCAAGATGGGTTCTTGGTGCCCAACACATCCCTGGGCTAAGGGCCAGCGAGAGGGAAACGGAGCAAATTCTAAGTGAGCTTTAACCTTAGACGCCAGGGGTCCCTTCCATAGTGTTTTTGTCTCTAAAGGAACTGGTGAAACTCTCCATCATGTTTTGGTAGAAATGTTTACTCAATTAACTGCTTTTTAGCATTTTAGACCCTCCCTTAAGCCAATGTTAGAAAATGATTGACAGAATTGATAGAGACCTCCAATTCCTACCTAAGTCCACCATGACAGGAATCTGCTACTCAGTTATATAAAGCCATTGCTCAGTAAACGTTAGAGTATCAGAACAGGAACAAATTTCCTACTGAGGAGTTGAGACAAAATAGTTCCTCCCTTAAGCATTATTTTAAAATATCACTGTTATAAACTCAATTAAATTTAAAAATTAAGCATAAGCAGTCAATGTAATTCATTAAATAGCATATCTAATAAAAGTAGAAGTCAATTTGTGCTACGAAATTTTCTTTGTATTTCTTGCTTTCATGAAATACTTTTATATTAAAATGTGTGTGTTTTTTTTTAATTCCAATGTAATTTACTTTTCACAACACAAGCCAATTCAACAGAACTTTCCAACATAACAGAGATTAAAATATCAGGAGGAGGAATAACAGGTAATCATGAGAGAATGCCAAATCTCTACAATAATTTTTCTTTATATCCCCCTAGGGCTTGAGACCTCTTTGTCTATAATATTTCACTTTCCCTAACAACACAACCTAAAATAGCATACCAGTGGAGCACCAAACAGATTCATCAACAATTTTTATCAAGATTTTTAGAGAAGAGAGGGAGAGGGAGAGAAAGAAACATCGAGAGGAACATGAAACATAGATTGGCTGCCTCCTGCATGCTCCCCACCAGGGATCAAGCCAGCAACCTTTTGGTGCACAAGGGACAACACCCAACCAACTGAGCCACACTAGCCAGGGCTCATCAAAAGTTTTAAGTACTTTCTACATATAGTAGCTGCCACTGCGAGCCAAGCATAGAACAGACTAGAGAAGTGTAAGAGAAAGACCCTGCGCTGAGTCCTTTGCAGGTGGTGGCAAGTATGGCACCTGTAAAACCAACAGATACTAGAATTGTGAGACAGGGGCAAGTCTTCCCTAACCATGACTGATGATACAGAGGGCACAATGGGCGGACCCACATCTCTGGTAACTAAACTATAAAACAGATTCTCAAAAGAAAACGAGCAGGCATACATGAACTATTCAACTTTCTATTTGAACATATTTGAAGTCAACACAGTGGACCCCATAGCACAGCTACTACCACGTCTATTATAAAGATCAAGTGAACACGTCTATTATAAAGATTAAGTGAACAACTATATGTAAAGTCTTAGCTCACAAAATAACTCATGGAAAGCCTGGGTGAGGCAGCAGCAGCGCATTTACCCCAAGGGAGCCCCTGACTTGTAGCACCATCACTAATGAGGAAGTTGTCCTTCCTCAGCAACCCCAGGAACCTGAGCCAGAGGTTAGCTCTCACTCCCCCTCTCTGCAGCTACTAAATTCTACGAGCCTTGATTCCAAATAGTTCATTTCCTACGTGATCCCACCCTCTCCATCAATTGCTGAATGGGGAAAATAAACGCTGAGACCTAGACATCAAGTTATAAACAGAAAGGTCCCGTGTGCTTTCTGCTTTCAGTGTTGGACAAAGGAGCATGCACATTAGGCACCAGGATTCGCCTAACCTCTTGTTGAACAAATGATTTGCATGGCGCATATAGCTCTCAATCTTCAAACATAACATCCACAAGGACCCCGTCTAAGCTCTTACGTACATGTCTGATAATCTTGAACAGTCCGGAATTTGCCGTATGTACCCCAAAGAGGAGCCCTAGTCAATTACAATGTTTTGTGCTCAAGTCCTTGTATTTGAAAGACTGAATGACCCGCTTTCACAGCTGGAAAATACTGAAAATGGAAACTCTTCCTATTTGCTAATTACAAATCAAGTCCAAGTAATACTATTGGAGTCTGTGCAACCACACCATTAGCCCCCTGCACAGCCACAAGCTGCTCCTATGAAAGGGCAGCGGTCTCTCCCCGGGTTTTCTCCTTCCTGCAGGGGCAGATGCCAGGCGGTCCATCCACAGACAGCCTTCCAGCGGCAGAGCTGCAGACAGCGATCCCGGGGTGCAGTTCTCGGTTGCTTCCTCCACGGTTTTTCTCACCAATGGCTCCTGCCCTTGCACGATTATCCGGTTTCAATCACTGGTCCCCAAACCAAGCTAAAACGAATCAACCAATAGCTATGTAAAAACAAAACCGTGCGTGTGTGAAAATTACACTTTTCCAGGGAATGAAGAAGCACCTGGATTAAAGAAATGGAAACCAATGGGGAGTGAACAATGAAGCCACACCGCAGAAGTGTGTACTTTACAATGGCGGGCCTGTCTAGACAGAGTTTGTGCTCCGGTTCTGAAACACAAGACAGAGAGTGCCAGGGGGGTTAGAGGATCATCACCACCAAAAATATGTGACACCTAACTCAGAGGTTCCCTGTACAGTCAGCCAAAGAACAACACACACACACATACACACACACACACACACACACCCCAAAAAACATACAGCGGGGTGGACATAAAGTAAACACAAGGTCCTTCCCTCCACCTTCTTCAGAGGGCTTCTTTTGAGAGCACAAAAGCAGTGAATTCACTGGAAATCTGAGCCACAAATAAATAAGGCATGCTGAGATCACCTAATTCTGCCCTAGAGCCACCAAAGTCTGAGGTATTTGAACAACCTGCTTTAGAGTTGAGTTTAACATGTATCAATTATGCTCTTTCACCCTCTAATTCCACCACTCCAAAGGATGAAATAGTACATAACACACACACACACACACACACACACACACACACACACACTGCCACAGTGGGAAAAAGAGAAACTACTTACTTTTCTTCTTAAATAGCTTAATGAAAGACTTGATCTTTGCGTTAATGAAGACCACCATCTCCAGGATGCCCACATAGGGCTTAGAAACTTAAATCCCATTCAGAGCTCAGTCCAGCAGGCAGGTGGCAAGCTGCATCCCTGTGCTCTGGATTCTCGGATTCTCACTTCTTGCTCTGTCCTCCTATCATTAGACATCTGCCCGGGATGATGTAACTTGGAGGCTGAGCTTATTGTCAGGCAGTTACAAACCATTAACAGTCCTTGAACCTGAAAATCTCCCACTGAAACCTAATCTCTGGGGCTGAGAGCCTCCAGTGACAACATGAGCAGGAAGAGAAAGCCAATCACAGTCCTTATTTGCATGATAGCCACAGCAGTCTTTCTGCCCCTGGACTCATGTCTTCCACTTTCTTGCCAGCAGATCAGAAGTTCCTCCTTCCAGAGTCCAGAGAGCAGTGCAGCTGCCTCTGGGGAGGTCAAGGTGAAGCACACGGGCTCCCCATTTTCACGAGGCCCCGAAGAACGCCCAGATCTGTTAACTGGAGCCCACGATTCTAAGAGCAAGTCTGTGTTGGTTCTTTGACTCTCCAGTTAATTCAGGCATGGGAATTGATTTTAGGAGAAAAAGAGCCAAACTATTGTTTCCCGGCCACGCCTCCAGGCTCTGCCTGCCTTGCCAAAGTAGTAAAACTTTACAACAGAATCTCCATTGAGCTGTAAGTGATGGCTTGGTTGCATTTTCCTGCAAATTAGTCCGCCCAGTATTCTCACCCAGTTGTGAGGTTTTTTTTTTTTTTTTTTAGCCAGTGATTGAGAGCCAGCACTGTACTTGTCCCAGTTTGATCTTACTTGCACTTAGCTCTCACAACTCCCTCCCTCCCAAAACCCCAGCTTCCCCACTCCAAAGGAGAACCTAAATAGAGTACCTTAATCATTAGGAAAACAAAATGAAATAAAGTATCCCAATCATTTAAATCTGTATTTTGAGTTTAATTACCATTTAAGATCCTGGCTAAAAAGTTACACACACACACACACACACACACTCACACACACGCTCCCGGTGGGGAAGAAGAGGAGTAATTTCAAAGAAACATTATCTGGGTTTCTCTTTAACATGAATATAATAGTATACTTAGTGTTCTGGTTCTTTTGTCCATCCTCAGAGAACTGGGGAAACACAAATAAAGAAGAGTCAGAAATGGGGTTTAAGCAGGATCTAGAAAAATATGTTCTGGGGTAAAGAAACAGGAACAAAAAGAAAAGAATACAGATCAGGAAATACTACAAAAAAGAACAAAGAAAAAAAACAATGCTCCTCACATCTCTCCCCAATTCCACTTTATGGCAATGCAGTCTTTGAAACACGTTAGACAAGCCTCTTAGTTCATAGCCTTGGGCCAGACTTATAACTGAATGGGGAAATGTAATAACCCACTAATTCAAAACATTTAGTCACAACAAAAACTCTCAAAGAGTAAAGCTTACGTAAGGGGCTCCCCCTAGGGAAAGCTTTGGAAGGATTCCTCCACAAATCTTTCCCCTCCTCCATCTTATACTTCGAACAACAACAAAAGATAAAACAAGTTATCATCATATTAGCATACGTATGACAGATTTCCAAACTGTGGTCTTTCATCCTACCCAAAGCTTTGCTTAAAAGCAATTACATAGCCAGATGGTAGGTTAAATTCTATAGCTGCCTCCCATTGGTGGGCACAGTTCCCCTGAGGAAAACCAATGCATAAGCAACAGTGACCTTGCTCACAAGAGTTACCTCTCAACCTCATCGCAGTGGAGATAGTCCTAGTCACAGCCCACACGGTGACGGGCACCACCCTACTTGCAATGGAAAGCAGCATGTAGCTTTTCATGTACACAACAATGGCATCCGAACACTGACTGATGCATGAAACAGGTAAAGACTGAGCACGTAGCAAGTTCCACTTGTTTGAGATACATCAGT